TTGCCCAGATACAAAGACAACTTGTGTTGCAAATGAAAATAAAATAGTCAAATCTATCAGCTGAAGGAGTTTCCACACAAGCCTTATTATTTTTGTGCCTTACAGGCCACACTATAACCATTCCAAATGCCCTACCCAAAGAGCAAGGCATGCCCCATAGCCTCTGTTAAGTGTGCCACACTCTACTCTGGGTCTTCCGCATTGCTCAGGTCACATACTAACAGTTGTTAGTGCAGAAACTCTGTCTTATAAACATTGAAGAGTAGATATATCCCTTTGCCTGTTGGGGCTGAATCATCTCACTGAAGAGACTCAATTGTTTTCTGGTACTCGACTGTCTACCAGTATTAAAACTCTGGCTTAAGGATAATTCAACTTTCAACCTTCTCTTGAACTCCTCTTTTCCTATCCCTCCCTAATAATCTTCAATACATATTTTGAGTCCTCTTGGAATTGTGTGTAAGAGAACCCATCCAGCCTGTGTGGCAGCTTGTATCAACCCTTTAAGTTAGAAACTGAAGCTAGGATTAAGTAGTACATACAGAAATTGAGTCAGATAATAAGCCCTTGACATTAGTATTATTTCTTTGGTGTGTATATATAAAACATATACCCTAATTTCTTCTACCACGCAAACCCCCAAAGTATGAGAAATAACTTGTTGAAAAGTACAAGTACACATATGATGTATTTCCTATCTTTCACATATTGCTGATGCTTGTAGGCAATTTTGTGTGGTATTTATACATTGGGTGAAGATATATTGCTATGACTTATTTAATAAAGTGCTGAATAGACAATAGCTAGGCAGGAGGTATAGGTGGGACTTCCAGGTAGAAAGAGGAAGTAGGAGGAGATAAACAAGGTGCAGGAGAGACATCAGGAGAGATGGAGAGGAAACAAAAGGTGCAACTTGAAAGAGAGATAATGCCCTGTGACAGAACATAGATTAATATAAAAGGATTGATTTAAGTTATGAGCTAGTTGAGACAAGCCTAAGCTTTCTCTGTCATTAGTTGAGTCTATCAGCCTCCAAAAAATCTTACTACAAATGAATGAAGCCCAAATTTTTAACTTAGCAAATATCATGGTCCAAAGAGAAGAAAAATTTTACCCTTTTTTATACTCTGTTCCTTCTAGCAAACAATGACTGCTTACTGCCCTCGATACATGGGAAAATGTTACTCTCATCCTTAATCAGAGAAGCCCCTATTTACAATGAACAACTATAAATGAAGCATGTCTGCTCAATATGCTGAGAATGATTGGCATTTGAATGGTCATCTCAAGATAGGGGATTTATATAACCCTATCTATGGCTGAAGTAACATTATAGAAGTGGAAACTCAGTTGTGACCCTATACATAAGAAGGAAAGCTATAAATTGCTTTTGGCCTTAACTGAACCTATGTAGTCATTACCTTGCACCAGCTACAACTTCCTGCCGTAGTCCTGTGCAAGATTTATCCTGTGAATACAAAAATAAAAAAATAAATAAAATCTTTTAATAAGCAACAAAGCCAAAGCAACAGTTTTCCTACCTTAATTATCTTCTTAATCTACAAAGTGTTTGGAAGCTTGACTACTAAGGTGTTTTAGATCCTGTCAAATAGACAGTCAATATTTTCTATTGTATGTGCATCTTTTTCCCACTAACTTAGAACTCTTCCAAGTCATTTCCAAGAAAAGAGTTTACTTTTTGATGTCATAGTGTCATAAACTGAAATGCATTCATTGAGACTTTGTAAATCTGCCACAGTTAACAGTCCCAGCAATGTTTAAAAGACCAAAGTCTAAAAGATTTTCTGATACTCCAAGTGAATATTTTACCATAATCTTGTATAAAATCAAAGCCAGGTTACAAAATCCCCCCAAATAATGCCACGTGATAAACACTTCCAATTCAAAGGGTAAATCTGGGAGCACAGGATGCAATGATCAGGCCCAAGCAAGGTTTTCACTTAGCAAGGAAAACTTCTACAGTACAAGTACTGTGTCTTGCAATTTGGCTTGTGATATAATACTGGCTTCACAGAGACTGGGTAATCTCTCTACTCCTCTTTGGCCATCAGCAACATATAAACTTACTGCAATAGCACTACTACATTCTAATTTTAAATTTTGAAATTAAAATGTTTTCCCCTTTCTTTTCCTTCCTTCAACTTCTCTGTACCCTTGCCATTCTCTCTCTGTCTCTTCTCTCTCTCTCTCTCTCCTCTCTCTCTCTCTCTCTCTCTCTCTCTCACACACACACACACACACACACACACCCACACACCCACACCCAAGCAATGCATGTACACACAACACCATACCATACATACAGAGAAAGAGAGATATTATATATATTTACCTAAATATATAAATACAACCCACTAATTCCATATAATGTTATTTTTTATGTAGATTGTTTCAGGCCATACACTTGGAATTTGATAACCAGTATGGGAACTGTTCCTTAGAGAACTATTCCTCCTACTCTGAGTATTTCTTAGTTGTCTTCAGTTCTTTGTTTAAGGTTGGGGCCATATGCAATTTCTCCCTTTAGTGTTGTATATATAGTGGTCTACTTCTTGTTCAGGTCATGTATAGGCAGCCATGTTGATGAGACTTCATACATGTAGCTTCCTTGACATCTGGAAGAGGAAATCTCACAAAGGACTTCCTGTTTCTCTGACTCTTACAATTTTTTTACCCCCTTTCCATTGATGTTCCCTGAGCCTTAGGAGTAGGTGCAATGTTGTAGATATGTCATTTGGAGCTGGGCACCAGACAATCATGTATTTTGATTGGTTATGGTTTTCTGTATGGTCTCCATTTCTTGCAAATAGTGATTTAGTTTTTTTTTTATGATGGGTGAACACTGCTCTTATCTGTGTTTGCTGGTTTAGTAAACTTTATTGTAAGTTCTCCTCGGATATCTATGATGTTATCAGCTCCAGGTAGTTAGCTAGATTTCCAGTACCTCGCATAATTTCTCTCTCATTGAGTGGCTCTTAAATTGAATTAGCAAGTTTTTCATAGCCATGAGTATAGGGGTTGACACTGTACTCTTAATTCATATCCCAAGTAATGAGAATATGACCATCTGATATGGAAGACTATGAGAAGTCCTACATATTAGATACTTCTTTATTACCTATCAATCTTCTGTGAACATTCCTCTAATTTTGGTGAACTGATTTTGTATATAAATTGCATAAAATAAATCATCTCCAGTGTCTATAATTTTTATGGTACATCTGTCCAAATGGATCAAGTGCTAGACTCAAAAGATGCCCCAATAGAGGCATCTTTACCCCAATAGAGGTAAAGGACTAGAATAGAAATTTTAGGTCCAGTTTTATTTGTTGTAAATAATGAAAGATATACAGAAAGCCATATAAAAAAGACATTATATATACTCAAGAAAAAAGAGAAACCCTTTTAAAATTAAATTTCTTATTTTGATAATGAATAAATGGTAGTTGACATATGTAAGATTAACTCTGAATTTAAATGTGGAAAGCACGCTTGACCATTTGTTTAGAGTAGTAATAGAAATGGCACAATATAAACTCACAGAATCCATAAAACTACATGTACATAATCTTACATCAATAAAAAGAATCTAGTTCTTGCTGTGGGAAGTTCTTCTGTGTATGTGTTGTTTTTATTGGTTAATGAATAAAGAAGCTTCTTGGGTCTGTGACATGGCAGAATAGAGCAAGGCACAAATTCCAAGTAGAGATAGAAGAGAAAATAAGGCAGAGTCAGAGAAGTCATGTAGCCACCAAAAGGAGATAAACACCAAGACTTTTATTAGTAACCCATGAGCCTCATGGTGAAATATAAAATAATAGAAAATGGTTAGTTTAATATGTAAGAGCTAGCTAGAAATACACTTAAGCTATTGGTCACAGTATTGCAATTAATAGAGTTTCTGTGTGATTATTTCGGATATGCACAACCAGGAAATGAATGAGCAGTCTACATCCACAAGTTCTGGCATAGGTCAGGAAGTTGGAAACTAAATCCTAAAACATCAGACAAGTAAGCAGGTGAGGACATTTAATAATACTAGAATGGGACCACAAATAAGCCCTTGGCATGCAGCTAGCTTAAATTTACCTTTAAGGTGATACAGAATGTCAAGATCTTATTAGAAGTCACTAACCGGAAACAGGGTCTTCATGAATATTGAATAGTCAATACTTAACATACAAGAGCTTATAGAAAAGAAGCCACTGAAATCTACTTTTGGATTTGTGGATGTCTTCAATGACAGAGAGAGAGACAGAGAGAGAGACAGAGAGAGAGACAGAGAGAGAGAGAGAATGAAAGAGAGCTAAAGAAATAGAGAGAGAGGAAGAAAGGTGCAAGAAGTACTTCTGAAAATAATCCTCATTAGTGTTAAATTTTCAGCTCAGTTGTATGAGCTAACACCTTGGATCCTATTCCGTACGTTGGGATGCCTTGCTCTGCTTTGATAGAGGGGGAGGGTCTTGGTCCTGTCACAACTTGATAGGCCATGCCATGATGACTCCCATAGGGGACCTGCCCCTTTAATGGAGGAGGCATAGATGAAGGTTGGTCAGAAAGTGAATGCAGAGGATGGGAGGATAGTAGAAATGGGAAACTGCTGTTTGTAGGGAAAATAACAGAAAAAAAATAAGAAAAACAAACAAAAATTAAAATTTACAGGCAAAACAAAACAAAAAGAAAAACATCTTTTACCATCGTTTACTACACAATCTCCTTCTTTTCTTCAACTTCTCTTAACATTGTCTGTCTTTCCTGCTCTGAGGCAATCATCAGTACCTATTATGATAAGATGTATGAATTTTGTCAGTAATTGTTTTAAATTAATTATTGAACTAACTTCCTCATATATATTTAATTACAAAACACCTAGCTGCAAACACAACTTGTATGAATATAAGAAGGGATATCAGGATGAGATCATTACTTCTGTAAATTTTTTCACACTAATAAAAGAATAAAGGTTGCTTCTTTGTTTGAATTTTTCCACAATTTTTTTATTGATTGTTTGTGAATTTCACATTATATACCCCAATCCACTCATTTTCCAGTCCTTCCATATTTGCCTTCCTGCCTTGTAACTTCCCTCCCCAAAAGACAATAGAAAATAAAAATTAAAAAATAGTCTCCTGGTAGAATGTGTAGTGTCTCACGGTGTGTCACACGGTGTACTCTTTAAACAAACAGCTTTACTTGTGAATGTTCACTGCAATGAGTCATTGGACTGGTTCAAGGCCTCTGGGATCCGTGACACTACCGATGCTGGATCCTCTCTGAGACTCCTCTGGGCTATCCTGTGGCTGCACTGTGTCATGAGATCCTGCAACTTTGGTTCTGCAGGACCTGCCCCATGAACTCCAGTAACTCATAGATGGGGTAGGTGTTGGGTGGGCCAGCTCAAAATCTTGGATCCAGGCCTGAGTGTTAGCTGAGTTGGTTACCAACACTAGCTCTCCCATAATGCCCAGGCAAGGGGTGAGGTTGACTTTTCTGTATCCACACAATCAGGGATAGCTGATCCTCGCCCATGCCACCAGGGCCAACTATCTGACAATGACAAGATACACAATGAGGAGTAAAAATAAGCTTTCCAACACTAATGAGGCCATCCTCATCCACACTTTCATTCAGGGCCAGTTCTTCCTAACTGCTCAGGCAAGTTGTAGGGCTAGCTCACCCTAGTCCTGTGGCCAAAAATTGGTGGGTTTAGCTCTCCCATGCCAACACCATTGGGGTCAGCTCTCCCACACTGCCCAGGCAAGGGACAGGACCATCTTATCTACACTTGTATCAGTGCTTATGCTCCGGTGTGGTGGCTGTTGAGGGGCTGGACCAGCTCAGCACCATACTCAGACAACATCCTGGCCCAGACCAAAGAAGTCCACATTGCATGGACATTGTCACAGACTCCTGTTACAAAAGGGCCATGCCCCTCTGCAGCAGCACAGGTTTAGATAACACCATGGCCTCCAATAGCAGTTCAGGCCTCTCACATCAGGCCGTTCCTTGCTGTCTTCACGTCTACAGGCTCACCTGTCTTCACAGAGAACAAAGTGCTCCCACTTCCCTTTCTGTCTCACCTCTCCACCACATATTTATTTATCATAATGCTGCATACCCTGAATAATGCCGAGGCCTCTTCTTGGTTTTTAAATTTTCATTTTTGTTTGAAGAAGAAGAGGGTTTATTTCATCTCATAGCTCCCTGTCCATTGCTGAGGAAAAGTAGGCCAGGGGTTCAAGGGCAGGACTCAGGAGGCAGAACTGAAGAAGATACCATGGAGGAACTCTGCTTACTAGCTTGTTCCTTATCATTTTTTCCGCTTTTTTTTCTTTTCATTATGTCTTTTATTTTGTGAGATTATAATTGCATTATTTCTCCCTTCCCCTCTAATGAAGATATGCCTTGATAGAGTGATCAGTGAATGTTCAGAAGGCCGTTCATAATCTAGAACAATGCTGAAATGGAGTTCATGTGCATTCTCAATGAGCTCTACTCTCTCTTTGTTTTCTTTCCCGTCTTTACAAACTTTCGATAAATGAATAAGAAGGATTTTATCGCAAGGAAAGCTATGGCTGCCACACAGGCCAGTAGGAATCCAATCACATCCAGAGAGTGGTACTGGTACCAGGCGAGGTTGTGTGCAAGTGGCCTCAGGTGCTTGGCCCCTTTGTGGCGCATGACAAACTCAATCCAGAAGATGACTCTGTCCAGCGGTTTCATGGGCTGGTCATGGTGAATGGTTGATAACCACATTGCATTCTTTTTATAGCTGGCAGAAGGAAAACAGATATTAACTTACATTAGAAATGAAAAATGCACATGTGCAAATTTTTGTATAAATATTAAAGATAATCCCACAATACAGAAAATATATATTTGTTTCATGTTCATGACAAGGAAGATCTTCAGAGGCATGTCTGATTTTTTTGAGTATGCAAGATTAAGCATGTAAAAAGAAAAATAAAGATCAAATATCCCTAGAGTTTAGGGATAGCTAAGTCTTAAATGCAAAATAAAATGAATGAGATATTATTTGAGTATATAAAGCTTCATTTACCCATAACCAATTATTAGTAAATTTTGTGTACAAAATGTGTACTAGTGTCAGGATGTAGAAGTCAAATAATTCTTAAGTCCTCATGGTGGTGCATATCTATGTAAAGTTGATAAAGATTGAAAAGAGATTTTTATGTTACATCTATCAGTGATTAGTGGTTTTAAATGCAAATGTGTCCTGGTTCTTATTAATTAGCTCTAATAGCTTCTTCCCATTGCTTTTATATTTTTCTAATTAAGGTATCAAATATTTGATAAAATTAATAGAAAATATATTTTTCTAATTAATGTATGAAATACTTGATAAAATTAATAGAAAAATATAAAAATAATTTTCTTCTCTGTTCCTGTACTGAATTTTTTATTACTTTTATTATTCTTATTATAAAGTATAATCACAATAAATTTTTGCTATTACTTTTAAATATGTATGTGAGAGAGTATGTGTGCAAAGTGTGTAAACATGTATGTGTGTGTGTGTGTGTATGTTTGTTATGAGATCTGTTGGAGATAGAGTAAAAGATGTTTGTAACCAACTGATGCAAGTGTTGAGAACAGAACTCCTGTCCGCTTCCAGGGTAGACCTTCCCTTATCCACAGAGCCGTCTTTCAAGCCTAATTTTTACTCTTATTGTTGTAATTTTAGAAGCATGAGTTGTAAAAATTTCACACTGGATATCAAATACAAGGTGTACTCGATTCTGATGCTGAAATAATTATTGATGAGCATATAAAGAAGAAGGGGTATAAAGACAAGTCATCAACTCTGATGTCAGTTTGATGCAGCAGAACTAGCAATTGTAATTATGGTAACTTACTGTCTTTTTTATTTACAAAGCAAAATGAGAGAATTATGTATTTATTCTCATTTCTTGATCATTATTTCTTGGTATGCATGTTACATTTATTTAAAATTTAATTTGTAACTTATCTGAACTAACAAGTGGCCCTCCCCTCCAAAAATTGGTGTCAATGTGATTGACTAAAATCTATATAAAACCTGAGAAAGCTTGAAAAGGAATTCTAGACACAAAAATACAGAGATTAACACAGCTTCTTGGTGTTTGCTGGCAGCGTGCTGCAGCTCCCTTAAGAAAGGATTTTCTGATTCAGTTGCGACCATTTTGAAATGCCAGCTTTCTGGCCTTGCTGCCAGTGTGACCTCTGGCTCTTTTGGGAGACGGATATTTGGAGGGGTTTGTGAACAGACTGCTGCAACTTGCTTAATGGTGGCATAGACTGGCTATGTACCTGACATGGGGCTGTGGGCATGGCTCTCAGAGGCAACAAACAGCTCTGCCATGCTGAACTGTGCCGAGCAAGCAGGAAATTCCAGCTATATCATAGTAATTGCACAACTTGAGTTTTAGAATGGACAGGCAAGCAGGAAGTACCACATAGACAATAGTAATGGTGCAGTTTAAGTTTTAAGAAGCACTTAGCATTTTAAGAAGCACTCCAGGACAGTAAAGAATTATAGGCACACAATTGGACAGATTCAGAAATAAAAGACCTCTAAATGGGTCACAGAGTTGGATAAATGTATGTAGCCTTGGGAGAGAGAAAGACAAGAGCATTAAGAGTTGTAAAATAAGAAAATATATGAAAAAACAAAGTCTTTAAAGAGACAGAGTATAGACAGTCATAGAATAAATGGAGTAGAGAAATGAGCCACATAAAGATAATGGAAAATTCATAGAAATCTGGAATATGTATATCATTGTGCTTTCTTTGAGTGTTTTGATTGTGAAGGAGCTACTTACAAAGAGACATTTTATTGTATCAGCTACTAAACTAAATCAGCATGTATATTATAAAGGTATCATGACTTCCATATTTAGGTTTAAGGATGTGTTGCTTTGGAAAAGAGGTTCTTCTCTTGTTTCCACAGAGGTTGACAACCTGTGGATTGCTTCCAGACAAGTGTGGCTGATGGACCAAGACCCCTGAAAGGTTGCCTTGAACACCCCTCAAAAAATTACATTGTCCAGTAAAAAGCAGGAAGTGTTTGGAGAAAAACTATGCCCATATTCCTAAATATTATTTATGAATATCTCTTTATATTTAAAGGGGGATATACTATAGAGATTTGCATTTGTATGGATCTTGGTTTATTGATGCAAATCCAAGGTCAATCTTATTAGACGTATATTAATACTCTTGATTAAGGTATTGTGATTGTGTTGTTCATTTAAAAATATAATGTATAATTAAAAATATAGGTTAATAGATAGTCATCTATAATAAGCAAGCTTGTAGTCATTTTAGATTTTCTAGATATATAGAGAGATATTTCATTTAGGTATTTTTCAAATCATTCAGAGACCTTCAGAATATGACATTCAAATGTTTTAAGATATTAGAACTTTTCATGACAATGAGAATATCTCTATCTGGCAGCACAAGCTACTCCAAGAAGACAATGGGCATCAAAGAGTCTTCTAATATAGTTCATTAATCATTTGGGCAAGAAACTGCTCTTGTGTGGCCACATAAATTGAAGTGCAGGACTTGCTGAGAAATGACTGCTGAACTTGCCTAAAGGTGAGATGGTTCTTTGGGGTTCCTGCTACATGAAAGAATCTGCCAGATGTTCTGCAGGACACAGAAGAAAGTGACTGGCAAACTTCCAGTATATAGGCCGAAGTATTTTTAAGACTTCCTGTTTTATTAAAAAGTCTTCTGGATACTATGGGCCTGTAGCCTGAAGATGCCCCAACAATACAAAAGAACTTTAGGTGACAATCCAGGCAGCAACATGTCTCTTTCAATTCTACAGTTTTCGAAGTTGCTTACAAGCACCTCCTTTTACTTAGGCAATGTCATATCCTTCTGGAGTGTTTGATAGAGTTAAAAAATTTATACTTATAGTTTTACTTAGTTATGATAAAGGTTAAGTAGATATAAATATTGTCACTATAATTCTTGATAACTGTTTTATTAAATGCAATTTTACTGTGTTAAAGACTTCCTTTCTGTTTAGAAAGAAAAGGGAAAATGGTACGGGAGGTCCTTCTGTCTGTGTGTTTCATTTATTGGTTAATGAATAAAGAACTGGCTTGGCCTACAGCATGGGAGGAGGAAGGCAGCATCAGAAAAATGCCATGGAGCTGCTGCTGGAGACAGATGTGCTGAAACTTTGCCTGTAAGCCACTGCCATGTAGTGATATACAAATTAATAGAAATGTATTAAATTAATATTTCAGAGTTAGCCATTAAAAAGATAGAGTTAATAGGCCAACCAGTGATTTAATTAATATAGTTTCTGTGTGATTGTTTCAGGCCTGGGTGGCAAGGAACAAGCAAGTGACTCTCACTCCAACATTTAGTTTCACTTCACTTATTGGCTATTGAAGTTTTGTACTATCCTTAAAACTCTGACCAATTACTTTACTAAAGGAATTGAAAATAAAACTTGTCCAGAGCTGGTGGCATATGCATGTTAGACAGCTGTTTGGAGGATTAAGTTGAAGAATTACACAATTAGAACCAGTTTGATTTACATAGGAAAAAAATACAAAGCAAAACATGGAAATAAAAAGTAATAACAAGAGTGAAAACCCTATGACACTAAATCATGCCCTAATTTGTCTCTGTACCTTCCATTATTTTTATCTTCAGGATAATTCTTGCTCCTTTGGCCTTCAGTAAGAATCACAATTAATGATAAAGAAATACCAGCATGTATACATTTCAAAAGGTTTTACTCACAAAGGATTATCTATGACGGCCTCCAGGGCACGGAGTAAATCTGACCTTGTCATTGTTCTGTAATCTAATGAAACAGCTGCTCCTTTGGCTACTATGTAGGCAATGTTATCATGCTGCTCTCCAAACAAAGGAATGCCAATCATAGGGATTCCAAAATGGATCGCCTCATAGATTCCATTGGCTCCACCATGAGTTACAAAGGCTTTGGTTTTTGGATGACCTAGAATAACATGAATTTAGGTTGACATTAATTAGTAGTCTTAGACATGAAATGAGAAATGTGCACTATCAGGAACTGAAAGATTTTCTACATGAAGATTAATTTTACTTAATTCACTTTATTAATTTAGTTTACCCCACAACTTCTGTTTCCCCTCACTTCTCATCTCAAGAAAACCTATGTGAAGAGTCTAATATGCATAACCTTGGTAAAATGTTTTCTTCTCTCAGAGTGAGAAGAAACTAAATTTACAGAGAGATATTTTGGAGAATTGCTTGGACTTGAGAGTTGAACTATGAAATTCTGATTCCCAGTTGAGCATATGGGGTGCATGGTAGTTAAGAGAAAATGAGTATTAAAAAAGACCAACTGCATACCAGAACTTGTTATCTTAAATAAATAATACATTCACCAAGTGCCATATAAAGGATTTTGAAGTCAACTAGGATAGGTTTGTTCCTAGAGTCTTACCTAGAAGGTCATTCTGGGGGAGCCATTTGTAAACTCTGGTATTGGATCCTAAGGAGTCTGGTGTCTTGCCCTCAAATCTCCAAAGAACCTGTTAAAGATTAGATAATCTTTATTGTTGGAGTTAAACTTAGTATTACATAGATTAAATAAGTTATATTAGGAATATAAATATATGTATGTAAGCACATTCATAAAGATGATGCTATGAATTTGAAAGAGAGCTAGGAGAATGGATATGAGAGGGTTTGGAAGAATAACAAAAAAGGAGAAATAATGCAATTGTAATTTCAAAACAGAAATTGTAAAAATAAATCTTTTTGTGTTTAAGTATAACATAGGTAAATACCTCCTATAAAAATGGATGAAGACATCAGAAAGGGTAAATATTGAGAACTCTAGAGAGACTGAGAAGAAGATTGTGCTTAGCAGAGTCTGTACTTATTTTTACATTTAGGCAGGTTGAACATAATCATCATTTTTCTAAGCAGAGATGTTTGGACAAATGAGATAGCTAATGATGCATGAAAATATTTAATACACTCCATGGTGATATAATTCAATCTCAGAGAAGAGTGGCACATTATTAATAACTCATATTTTATATTAACATATTTTGACTGTTCTAAAATTCTACTTTTAACACCATTATATTTTATATGCTTCTGGGGGTTTACTTTTACCTGTTCTATGTTATTTTCATTAAATTTCAAGTTTTTAATCTTTGATTATTTATTCATGACATACATATATTTATGACTCCATATTTCTATTGGCCAACACAATGGCATTGTTTCAAGGAACTTCAGACAAGAGAAAATTGTGGATCATACAGAGACAGAGACCCACATGGGAGCACCGGACAGAAATCTCAAGGTCCAAATCAGGAGCAGAAGGAGACGGAGCACGAGCAAGGAACTCAGGACCACGAAGGGTGCACCCACACACTAAGACAATGGGGATGTTCTATTGGGAACTCACCAAGGCCAGCTGGCCTAGGTCTGAAAAAGCATGGGATATATCCGGACTAGCTGAACATAGCAGACAATGAGGAATACTGAGAATTCAAGAACATTCGCAGTGGGTTTTTGATCCTACTGCACATACTGGCTTTGTGGGAGCCTAGGCAGTTTGAATGCTCACCTTACTAGACCTGGATAGAGGTGGGCAGTCCTTGGGCTTCCCACAGGTCAGGGAACCCTGATTGCTCTTCGAGCAGATGAGGGAGGGGGATTTGATTGGGGGAGGGGGAGGGAAATGGGAAGCCGTTGCGGGGACGACGCAGAAATCCTTAATAAATAAATAAATAAATAAAAAAGAAATATGGAGTCATCTGGCCCATCCAGAGAGTAATTTTGCATAGTGTAGTTTTGGAACATAATCCAGAAATGGAGTCATATGAGCAGAATTCTGAGTGCTTGAGAGAGCACTCTAAGAAAACAAGACATGAATCTTGTGACCTCAATTTCTTCAAAATGCTACCTTTTTTTTTTTTTTTTTTTGGTAAGCAGATATGACTGGATCTGTTTCAGGTTAACCACTACCGCTTGCTATTGATATCCAGATAAAGTTTACACTGCCCTTCGTGCATTTCTGTTGTGGCTTGATAGAAAATGGCCCCGTAAGGGAGTGGCAATATCAGGAGATGTGGCCTTGCTGGACAAAGTATGTCACTGTGGGGTGGGCTTTGAGATCTCTTTGCCTCAAACTTACATCAGTGTGACTTTCAGTCGATTTCACAATCAGAATTCCTAATGAAAATATTGAGTTATTGAAAATGAAAGGACAGTTATTGTTAAAGATTGGCCTTTAATAGTTTTGCATTTAAAAGATTGCTTTTATACTCTACATATTCTTTCTGATAATAAGGTACATTTTGGCTTTAGTCTTCCTTCATTCAATCATAAAAAAGCTTAGCTGTGATATCAATGGGTTTTATTACTTTGAAGGCATGACATAATTCCCTATTATGTGTCTATTCTATGCAGGAAAGGTTTTAGAGCTCATGAGGGAGGCCTTCCCTCAGGCTTATGTTCTTCATGTTCCCTGATACTCAGCTCCAGAACCATGCTTCTCTGCATCATGTCATATATCCCTTCATATGATAGTGCTTAAATGAGGTAACATATTTAAATGTATCTTTTATTGCAGATGCCATGGTCATGATGTCTCTTCAAAGCAATAAAAACCTAAATAAGAGGATATGGAAAAACTTTTTTTTGTCACACATGCCTTGTCATAGTGATCGTATACAACTTCAAATCATGTGATCTTTACTCATATGACCTTTCTTAACCCTCAGAATATATATTGTATGATTCTCCGAATAGAGTTCACTTTTGCTTATGATTATGACCCCAAGTTTTCAGAAGAAGGTGCTTTAGATGAAGAAGTATCTGACAAAGTCTGAATGAATGCTTGAAAGGCATACAAATATGAGGAATTTGGGTCACTTAGGCACTGATTTAAACTATTATTACAATACTAAAGGAAGATAAGGAGGTTATTAATCATTAGGAAGAGATGACTAAGTCCTTGCATGACTATAAACTGGACGATAACATCTTAAAATTAGTAGAGAAAGTAAATACAGTGCCACTGTCAACTATGATGGCTCCCTCAGCCCACTTTTTTGGAGTCTCCTTTAAAAATGTTTCCTGTCTTGCCTACGGCACTCCTGAAGCATGTGGCAAGGAATCTGATAATCAACCTAATCTTTCATTCTTTATACTTTTTAATGAAGATTTCAGAGATCTTATGAAAATGCTAACTTTACAATCTAGACAAGCTAGGGCATGACACAGAAAAGGAATTAATTTACCAATTACTCACTGGCCTCATGGGCTCAGCTTTGTGTTTCAGTGAACTTTCAACAAAATCAAGGTGTTTATCGTGGGTTAAACATTAATAAAGTGAAAGATTTTAGAAGGTTTGTGCTTTCTGTGGATACACTGCTCCACATAGTTATGGAACTTTTTGGCTGGAACAATAATGCACAATGGTTGCTGTGTGATTTTCATATAATTGTTAAAATGGTTCTTAGTCCTTTAAAACTTCTTTAGTGGCAAGAGTGGTTTGCAGATAAAGCCCATGAAAATTTGTACAGCTAGGAATGAGGGGTAATCCTAAATAGCACATATGAAATTCTGACAGGGTGTGATATATTTGTATCAAGAGATTATCAGCTGCATAATATGCTACTGACAGCTCTCTCACACATTAAGGATGTAACTATGGCCTCCTGGCCATTTCCTCTCTTCCAAGTCCTTTAAGGTTACACACAGAATATTGGGGACTTATACTGCTTCAAAGAGTTGGACTTTTATTGGGTTGCAGTAGATTATCCATGAATGCAATCATAGTTCATACAGGAATCATTAATGAAGATTTAACAGGGCAAATTGCAGTCACGAATACAGTGCCCACTAATTGTTCACTTAAGGCAGAAAAAAATTGCAGTTATTACTATTGTCTATATAGCCCTTCACAAAGAAACATGCTTTTTGAGCAAGGACTCAGTACAAGTAAGACTATGTAGATTTAAGGACCTTACTAAAGGAATATGTTAAAACGTCATTGGACTTAAAGTAAAGGGAAAAATGTTTACAGTATTAATTAATTATAATGGGAGTAATGTTTCCATTACAACCATGGAATAATGGGCACCTGGATGGCTTGTTATGGGGGGTAAATTCAATCCTAATAAAGTTGGTAACAATGAATTCTAAAAGATTAAACATAATGCTACAAAATTACAAGGTATTGGCCCAGAAGACATGATGGAAATCCACCAGCCTTGTGTTACTCATATTCTGATTGATTTGTGTAAAGAGACTTTCTACAACAGACTCATGCAGAGATCTCTATTCCCACATCTAATGATACCTATATTCCAAATCAGAATTCTAATGAAAGGTTGGCTTGTCAAAAATGAAAAAGACTAGGAAAACAGATGCAAGAGATTATGGGGCCTACATTCCCAAGTAGATAAGGACATAAGTACAGCATAGTTTTTCATAGGAGTGAAAAATTATATAAAAATCAAGTGACCCTGTCTGGACATCTCAATGGCTTGTTTCTAAGGAGAAGATATGGGCTCTTCATAAGGTCGTCAGAGAACAGTGAAAAACAGGCACAGAGAGTCACCCTTTTCTCCTAGGAATCTTCCTGGTTTTGTAAGTAAAAACTAATCTGGTAAATGAAGATGGTTAATTGACTTGTGAAATGTTAATGCCACCATTTGGTCAATGGGAGCTTTACAGCCTCGTTTACCTAAAGACAGCTACTGTTGGCATTCAACAGTTTTGCATTTGTAAAAAATGGTTTTTACTATACATATTCATCCTTATAACAAGGTACATTCTGGCTTTTCTGTTCCTTCATTCAACCATAAAGGATCTCAGTTCTGATATTAATGGACTGTATTAAACCAAGACATGACAAAATCCCCTATCATGCGTCAATACTATGCAGTAAATTATTTAGAGCCTGTGGGGGAAGCCTTCCCTTGCGTGGCCTTAGATTTGTTAGGTTCAAATCTTGGACAAATTTCTAAAGTGCTTATTTAATATTGCAAAGTTTACCTGGCTCCCTGGTTTTTCCTCCATTCCTCAGTTTCTACCTGTGGGACCTTCCTGGCTGACATACCCTGCCCCCTATCTTGAATTCTACAGCTCAAGGGGCCGGGCTGTTCTTCCCTACATAACCCAAGCATTATGACAACCTGCTCTTTATCATGCTTTTGTTCTCTAGGCTGCTTCACCTGATTCTTCTCTACCCTCTTCCTTCCCCTCTCCCCTCTCCCCTCTCCTCACATGGCCCAGCTCTGTCTGGTCATGACCTCTCTGCACTCTTCGAGATGTCACTGTCCCTGCCTCTGGCTATGCTCTCTCACATATCTATAATAAACCATCTTCTCCAGCATACATAAGAAGTTACATCCTTTCCTTATCTTTTTATTTCTTTTTTATTCAATATTATTAATTACATGGATGATTGTCCAGTTAGTCTTCCCCAAAGAGAAAGAGCTACAATCCATATAGGACATGACTCGGGATGTACTATATAAATATGGGCTTATTGTTATGCCTA